GTCGCGCGATAAATTAAACACACATACTCATAAGTATATATATAACACGCATTAACACGAGTAAATTTAATATTATAATATAATATTATGACCTCGAACGAGTGTGTGTGTGTCTCGACTCTTGAGTAAACCACGAGCGCGATGTGTACCTTCATGATAAATGTTTAAATCTACAAATATCATTAACAATCCGCACGTCACGCATAATATCATATTATATTATACATTGTATTAAGCGCCTGCATGTCCGTCCGTCTCGTTGTAATCGTCAAATACGGTAGGCATGGTGATGCGTATAGCGTGCGCGTTTTATTTATTTCGTGTGTATCGGAGATAACCGACCCTGCGCGTCGTCTTTTTTTAAAAAAAAAAAAAAAAAATAAATAAACAAATAAATAATAGCTATATAGTGCACTGCGAGCACGCAGCGAACGTTCAATTAATCTGAAACGTCCGATTCGTTATTTTGTTTTAACGGCCGAGAAGAAACGATTTATGTGCTCCGGACGATCAGACAGAACCCTTTGCAAAGCGCGTCGGCGTTTAATCGTGTCGTTCTCGTGCGACGACAACGTTCGTGTGCGGCACCAAATGTATAATAATATTATGCCACACGAACGTAATATTCGTAGGTACACGTGCAAGTGTAGTCCGGATTTTGAACAGACATTGAGATTCCGGCCAGCTGCGGAAATGCTCATTCTCCGCTTCAATGATAAAAAATACGATTTTAACGTATTCACGTGTTGACCGTATAGGCGTGTAGGTACGAGGAAAATTGCTCGTTCTCAAAAACGTATGATTTCGATGGCGGTTGGGAGGTTCGTTGGCCAAACGAGTGTCCTAGCTGGCGCACTCACGTACGTCTGGCATCAACGCCGGTACCGCGCTCTCCATTTATTATTTTACACAAATGACAATAACATACAGTGCGCCGTAAATTTTATACGAGTTGTGCTAAATGCGTGCAATGGTTTTTATCGAAGAAATCTACTCGTTTCGTCGTGCAGACGTTACGGTTTCGTTTTAAATTTTACGTTTGAAACGTCATTTCTTTACAACGTTAGGTGATTTTTTTTTTTTTTAGACTTTTAGTCGATTTTTGAAATTTTCCATGATCACAATTCTACTGTCGTCACTTCGTGATTTAATGACCACTTCAGCGTTTTTTATGTGTCACATACACTTGATTTCAGTTCTCTCGACTACATCGATATTGATCCTAATATAATATATGCTATTATAAACGGAGCTTTCGAAATTCGACGTACGATAAAATTCGCATGTTATTATCACGTCTCATCTTAAATTTGGGCCAAGTTGCATTGAAATATAACAACGAGGTAAATGAGTACATTACCATTTACCATAGGTATGGTTTAAGTTTCGAACCGATAATAGGCTTCTGATAGCATTAACGGTACGACGAGTGTCTTGCACGACAATAGCATAGTGTTATCAATAGAGTCGTTCATTAAAAACTCGAATAAACATCATTATTTATATATTGTGTCTGTCGGTGTTGTTGAAACTGTTTCAATGTAATTTTTTCAAAAACTTTAATAATTACTTATAGCGCCTAACAATAAACATATTGCTATAGACATTAATATACTTAATATTTTTCTCGTTTTCATTTTTTGCCGATAAGAAAAGTGCTCGAGGACCACAAACTTCTGCAGCGTCTTCTCCTCAACGCGTATACGGTATAATATCTAACCTAAAGGTTTCCTCTTTTCAACGCAGTTGCAAACAAAAGAGTACCTATCGCTGATTTTTGAAGGCGCCGAGGGCAGCAGCACCGAAAGCAGCGGTTATTCAAATGAAGCATTTGGAACCAATGGTGCTATAGGTGAACAGCAGAATTTTTTACATAATTTCGCGGTAAACGTGAAACATAATATTATTTGATTATCCCCAACAACCGTAGCGAACGTTCTCTGATATCCACAGCGTGTTTTTCATCACGTCTCTTGCAAGCACAAATACACAAAAATATGTTAGATTTACTAAATATATTTATCTCGGCGATCATTAGTATACAACACGCGTAAAGACGCGCATTCTGTACATTACTTTTTAATATTTTAATGCATATTTTAAAGCACTGTATTTGCTTGATGAATTTTCCGTGTCCATTGAACACAACAACCTTAGCAATGCGCGAAACACGCGTATTTCTTATATGTAGTTTTACTTGATTAAAAATGAATGTGCACAAATTTAGTATTGTTAATCTTTTGAAATTTATTTATTTTTTACATTACCGACATAATAGAAAATATTGATTTTTTCAATTTTGAATTTGATTTTCACAATTTTATATCAACTCAACGGATACCACTTGAACGTTTGACAATCAGTCAAGTTTACTTATTTAAAAATGATAAAATATTGACATATTATGATGATTATATTCGAAATTTGATAATAATGTATGAAAATATTATCATCTAATCATAATATTATAAAACAATAATTACCCTATAGTGCTTTCAATATTTGCTTTAGTTTTTTTTTTTTTTTATCTTAAATTTCATTAAAATTTCTTATAAAATTACCACAATTATCTGTCAAGAATTTTAAGTATATAAACTACAAATATAAATGTATTTATGTTTTATATTACATAGACTATACAAAGTTACTTTTATTTCTGTATACATATATATATATATATATATATATGTTACATACAAAGTCCGAAATTATACATTTCGCAATTTATACAGTGATTTTTGTACACATTGCGAAATGTACAATGTTGCTGTATAAAGTAACTAGATTGAACAAGTTGCGTTATACAATTCGCGATGTGTACATTAATCACTGTAAAAATTCCAAAGTGTACAATAATTGTTGTACAAATCACAAAATTTAAAAACATATTCTAAAAATTACAATATAATAACTGTTATGTTTTAAAAGTATTTTTTTTAATATTAAATATTATTACTTATTAGTATACCATATAAAAATAGATATATCAGGTCTTTACATATTAATATACTACAATCATTGAAAAAAATCACAAAAATAAGTAATAATATGTAATATTAATTAAAAAAATACTTTTAAAACACAACAGTTATTATATTGTAATTTCTAGAATATGTTTTTAAATTTTATGATTTATACAACAATTGTACACTTCGGAATTTGTACAGTGATTATTGTACACATCGCAAATTGTATAACGCAACTTGTACAATCTAGTTACTTTGTACAGCAACATAGTACACTTCGCAATGTGTACAAAAATCACTGTACAAATTGCGAAATGTACAATTCCGGACTTTGTATGTAACATATATAAAGGGAAAAAATTGATTTTCGTAAGCTAAAACTTATATAAGAGTACTGTGCACCATTCTCTATGACAATCTATAGGAATTTAAAAACGAAGATTTGACACTTCTTGAGCCTTAAGCAATAAGTTTCTAAATTTGGAGTAGTTAGTTCAGGAGGTAATTTTCAAATATATGATATACTATTTATTCGTTATTTTTAATGTTTTTATATCTAACATAAATCCTAAATGATTCATGGTTTTTAAATTTTAATATCTTTCGTCATTTTTTTTACATTTTTTGAGTATATTTTATTGGATTTTTAACACTACCCACTTGAAAATATTAAAATACAGTTAAAATAATCGAGTTCATAGGTATCCTGTATACTTAAAAAATAACTGTTATAATTATGTATATAGGTTATAGATACGATTAATGAGATATGAATTTATATTTAATTTAATCAAAGTCGAATTTTAAATATATTTATTTATGTTATTATAATCACTAATATTTTCAGACATCTACGACACCAGTAGATCAGTCGCATCGAGCAACAACCACTTAATCCGTGATATATTATTTAATAATATGTCACAAGTACGAGTATTTAGTCTAATTTATACATATTTTTATTTTTTGCCTTTACAGTAATAACCCAGTAAAAATATTATTTTTATCTAAGTCAATCTTAATTCTTAATTAATATCGTTTTTCCTAATCCTCGTCTTATTATAATTTTCGAAAAATTCAATTTAAAAATACGTGCATGATAAATTATTCAAAACATAATATTTTTACTTTCATCTTAAAAGTGAAATATTTAACACAAATAAAAAGATAAATTAAGTGTTATCAGTTTTAGCGGAAAAGCATATTATTAGGAAATACAGAAAAGTTCTTTTGGCGGAAGCAGAAACGTCTGTTACAAATTCTAAAATTACACTTAAGTTTCAAAAGCTTTAAACAATATAAAATTAAATTAAATATTTCATGTAATTTACTCCTTAAATATAATTAATAATCAATTTAATTTCAAAATTTGATATATGTATCTTTTTTATATAAATATATGTTAGTTTTAAATTTTTAAGTAATAATAGTTCTGTTAAAAAATTTAAACATCCAATACGTATCAATACTGAATTACATCTGCAATTTCTCAATAAAATTAAACGTATAGTTTTGTAACTGGTAATTTTAACTTGTATATTTTTCTTTAGTTTTTTTAACCTACATATATTATGTATATTAAACTCGCGTTAAAACTCGAGATAAAGCATTTGTTAAGCAAACAACGTATTCAATATTAATATATTGTCATCAATAATAATAATTTGTTGTATTTTTAAATTTCTGTAATAAAAAACTTTTTCCTGTAAAAATAATAGATTTTTCATCATTTTTTGAACTTATTCAGTCGTATTCAACTTAGTTGCAAATACTAATTCAATAAGTTATATCTTGTACTCTTGTATATGTTTTTCTCTGATACTTCCAAATTTAAAGTTTACATTTGACAAAATAATTTTCATTACAAATATAAAAATTTTGGTGTTTAAAAATTATAACACAACGTTCCAGTTCAGATTAATGTTATTTAAAACCGAGGTAACGAAATAAGCTCAAAACTTTTTAAAATATTCGATCAAGCCAACAAAGCATGTAACCTTGACTACTTCGGAACGTCTTGGAATGAGCTTTTTCCGACGACATTATTGCTCATTCGTGAAATACGTGTACAATGGAAATCAATGACTCTAAGAAACCCGAATTGGAATACAAAAATGTGAGTATAATTTATATTTAAATCAATGCAATTTTGTTTTGAATTTAACTATAACTATAATTCAATGATTATTTTAGGCTATTGAGTTTGCTAAGGATCCGCCTCTCACAGAAGCGCTCGCTCATCTGTGGGCGGCTGTTCGGAAACTCGGCGAGGAATCTGTAAAATGCATAGAAGAAAAAAAATCGTTAACGCACGTGATGGACAATTACAGACAGTTAATGCCAGAAATCAAACAGTCTATTTTATTGGAGCAAAACACAGTGGAAAAACTAAAAAAAGTTAAAATTATTTTTTTTTGCAATACACAAATTATTGTGTGATTAACTTATAGTTATCAAATATTATTTTAATTATGTAGGAATTAAACTCTGCACATCGTATGTTAGATGCTTCCAACCTCAGAGAACAAATAATTCAAGAATCCAACGATAATTTATTAGCTCAAATAAAGACCTTAAAAGCTGAACTAGATTCGAAAACTAAACAAATGGAAGAAGAAAGTTTGTAAGTTTGATTTGTACTTTTTTTTCTTTTGCATGTTTCTATCATGAATTTGGGCAGGTTTTCTTCTATGGGTCAAGGTGATACAAGCCAATTAGAGTTGACAAGATTAAAACGAGAACTGGCTAGAATAGACGTGGAGAACAAACGTCTAAATAATCTCTGTGAATCGTTGAAAAAAGAATTAGACGGTGCCGAGTATAATGTCAGAGATCTTGAAGCCGATTTAGCTGTAAGTGGCCGTAAACAACATATATCCACATTAATTGTTTCGTCATTAATTATTTCCTGTATTATTTTTAAGGCCCAAAGTAACAATCTAGTAAAAGAAATAAAAACAAAAGAAAAATTAGAGGACCGCATAAAAACCGACCACGATCAAATGGAAAAAATAAAAACCGAGCTCGGTATCACTAAGAACAATTTCAAAAAGGCTGAATCCAATATAGAAAAACTTAACGAGACATTAAAAGACTTAAAAGTAATCTAAAATACAAAGTGGTTTTCATCGATTATACATTCATACGTTGTGTATTGATTTCGTTTTTAGATTGCAAATAACAATTTAAACACAAAAAATACGTCGTACGATAAACAAATAAAAAAATTAACTAGAGAATTAAAAATTAAAACTGAACTTAGAGCTGACAGCGTTAAAGAAATAAATAAACTTCAAGATAAAATAAATGTATGTTAATATATTGACATTAATCTAATAATTCACGTTTTACGATTTCCTTTAGCTGTATAATTTATGCATGTTATCATTTTCAATCAATATTAGTATCAAGAAAATGAATTATTAAGAATTCAATCCGAACTAACACGTTTGGTTGCTACTCATGAAACATCACTCAAAAAACGACAAGAAGTTATGGAGGAGATTGACAAAATTTCTAAGGAAAAGAAAAATTCTGAAAATAATGTAGCTGTTTTAGAACGAAGTTTAAGTACGTCACAAGAAGATAATGTTAAACTCAAAAAAATGTTGGAATTAACAGAAAGAGAAAAAAAATTACTAGAAAAAAATATGACTAAAGTTAATGGTAAATAACTATTTGATATAAATGTACTTTACAGTAACAATTTTTTTTTTTATATATATACACAGAACAAATAACTGCATATATCGAAAAAATGAATATAAAAGAATCAGCATTTCGGGCTTTAGAACAAGAATTTAGAAATGCGCAAAAATATATTGATAAATTAAATCAAGATATAATTACAATGAAAAATAATAAGGAAAAGTAATGAATTAAATTTATTTTTATTATAATACTGCCGATTTTATAAAATACTTACATGATACAGATTGCACCAAGAAATAATAACTTTAAAACAAAAAATTCACGAAGATTCGGTGATATTAAACCACAAAGAAGTGGAAGTACAAGAATTAAAAAAAGAAGTAAATAATTGGAGTGATAAATTTAAAGAGCAAGATCATGATCTACACACTATAAAAACTGAAAAAAATCTATTTTCTAAAAATCTTGCTGAAGCTAAGGTTTGTTTCACCAATCACCATAATACTTTCTTAAATTGCACATTAATGTAACATTCATTTTCTTTGTCTACAGGACGAAACGGAAGAGATAAAAAATAAAATAAAAATGATTTCACAACAACTCGAACAACAAAAAGAGTACGTCGCGTACAAAGAAATGCAATTGACGAAAAACGATACAGGTAAATCTACGGTAGCCCACAAGTACGCTTAACTGTACTCACTAAATCTTCGATAACTTGTCATACAGTATTAAAACAAACTGAAAAGGAACTTCAAAAACGTGAACAAGAGATCAATGAGTACGAGACCCGAATGGAAGAAACGTCGAATTTATTAAAGAAGAAAAATGAGGACGAAAAGTCAATGATAATGACATTGAAATTACTGCAGAAAAAAATAGAAAAACTTCAGAAACAGAATGATGAAGTGGGTAATTTTTTTTTTTTTTTTTTTGGCTCGAATGATAGAAGCTTGCTGAAATTATTAATAAGCACATTGTTTACGATGCATTAACTTTGATAATACATTTTGTCGTTGTTAAGGCTTAAATTTTACACAGGGAAACAAAAACAAAAACAAACTCATAAATCAAATGAATGAACGCAATGAGGAGCTATTAAAACAAAAAGATGCTAATGACATATTAAGAACAACGTTAGGCAAGGGAGAAGTAGAATATAATAAAAGAATTGACGATATAAGATTGCTCAAATCGGAAGTAAAAAATTTGAGGTAATTGTGTTTATTATCAGATTAAACATATATTTAATTATAACACACCAATATCATGAATTAACGCCAAGTTTCATATTATCTGTTCTAAGTGTCAAAACAAATTATACGGCTATTAAATTGGATAGGCAGATGTAAATATTTCAATAAAAAAATAGATATATGACAAAAGTGTACTAATATGATAACATTAAAATGTTGGCACAATTAGCAAAAATATTTAGAATAACATATTATTAATTCACACTGTGTCACTATGAATGTATTATGAATGGTAATTTTTTTTTTTTTTTTTGAAAAATATCGTTTTTATAAAATTATATCATAATGTTGAGCTTAAAAAATTATGATTTATATTTAAAATAAAATATTAATAATCAAACATATCTACCCACCATCAAACAGTTTTTAACAATCTGAATTTCAACGGCGTCATAGACCATTAAGTTGAAAATTTTATTCACACAATTTTATTTTGTTATTCATAATATATATTTAACTTAACTTAAATTGATTGGTTTTGTTTCTTTTGAAATGATGATGTTTATTTGCTAGTAAGTCTGGATATAGTGATTTTCCTATCTGTTGTGGGTTTGTGGTACTTAATTTATTTATCGATTTTATTGTTCATTATTTTAAGTTCAAACATATTTATGATATTATGTAAATACATGATACAACATCTAACTACAAGAGATACAATATGAAATGTATGATATAATAATATGAAAATTTAAAAAAAAAATGTACTTAACAATTAAAATAACATCGATTAATTAAATTTTTATCACTTAATTGCTGTCTTGGGTTCTCATCGGAAATTAAGGAATTGGTTTTTATAATTTTATTTTTTGATGGCATACTTCTTTTTGGAAAATACGTTTTTGAATGAATTCATTCAGCAAACTTATAAATAATATATGAACTTGTTATAAAAACAATTAATTTTATTATTATAAGTAAATAAAAAATATTCTAACTGCCAACTTCAGATTTTCACCGATTATGTGCTTTTATATTAAGTAAACGATTTTATCATAGAAATAATATTATAAATTATTAATAAATTTGGGATTAAAATCTTACTTGAGTGTAACGTTGTACGCAATTACTGCGGTATGTTCTCTTCTTGTACTTTTAGATTATAACATAATGATGCGGTGAAGCAGTTAATATATTATATTACTATATATATAAACAACGTATTTCGTGATTTTGACATCAGTCTATGGAGGCTCATCAATCAATTGAAAACTTAACAGAGGTTTTTAAAAGTTTTAAATAGCGCATTAAAAATAACAAAAAAATCTGTAAAAAAAAAAAAACCAAACCATTTTTAAAAACATTATTCCGCTCATAGTCGTTTTTAATGAATTAGATGTGTTCATCGTATATATTTCGAATAATACGCCAACTTTGAACGCGCCAAAGATTTTCATTTAAAATATATTTAAAACTGTTGTTTTTTTTTTTTACATTCTTAACTGATTACTTCTTAGAGTACTGAAAATAGATTTATTACTTCGTATAAATAAATATTATTTAAACTTCATAAATAAATATCTTATACGTACTTGAACAATAAGTATCTATTGCATAATATTATTTTCCGTACAGCGTTTTCATTCTATGCTGTACAACAATAATAATACACATTTAAACAAAAGGAATTTAGTGTACTATAATTATGCAGTATCACATAACCTAATGCGCTTAGTAAATATAATAATAAAATACATAGAACTATACAATCATGATATACCATATATTAAATTATTTTATTAAATATTTAGTTATAATTACTCTATGCACAAATGCATATAGTAAATAATATACATTATTATTCGCAAATATATTATGAAAACAAACACGTCTATACTCTACACATGTATCTAAATATTTTGTTATAACTATTGCTTTTTAGCGTTCAAAAAAACTTATTGATGAAAAACCTGTCGGAAATAAATGACATAAGAGGCGAAGTACTTAAATATGAGCAAAAACTGAACAGAGAACGTTTGAAATGTCGAGCCCTGGAAGACATGTTAATCAAACCCACAAATGTACACCGATGGAGAATATTAAAAGTAATATACTATATATTATTATTATAACGTGCCAGTGGCATTTTTTAAACCGCTTTTGACGTGCAGACCGTCCCCTCTATCCGCCATTTTGGTGATCGAGAAATTTTTTTTTTTATTATTATTTTACTGGCGATATAAAAATGTTCAAATAAAAAAGGTTTAAGGTGGTGAGAAATAAAAGTCGTATAAACAACAGACCAGGTCAATAATTAATGCGCGGCGGTGAGCCCCCTCCGTATGTCTTGATGCGTTGAAAAAATAAAAACGGATCTCATCCCACCACCACAACTACCGTTCGAACTTCACGTGCGACAGAGACTTACCTATAAATTTATACCCGGATTACGTGACCCTCGTCATGACATTTTCTCACACTCGGGAAACCTGTATGGAGTGGAACGATATCGGAAGACCGTCAAATACTGTCATGACAATATGATAATAATATTATGATGATGAGTATTGAGTAGGTATGGACGCGTTGTGATTTCTGCACAAGCTCGCGTACGCGTTCTCTCGACAAACGACGACGACGACTAATGCGAATTGATAAGCGTGTTTATTCGACGTTATCGGTTTACACGTAAATCTGCGTGTGACAATACAACATACGTACGTTACCGATAAAAAAAAAAAAAAAAAACCATGCACGGCTACGATATTGTACATCTATCCCGGTGTTAACGACACCTGCACTCGTCGCAGTTATTCAGCTTTGACCGGAGTGTCAAAACGTTATTTCGACGGGTCAGGTCCGCTCTCGGAAATATGCGTAGGTATAATAATATTCGCGACAGTCCAAAATGATTGTCATCTGTCACACGTAAACAACGATCCCCGTGGCGCCACGCCATGCCGCACGACAGCGTTAAATAATTTTAGAGTTATGACATGATATAAAAACGTTAATACGCACTACACTTGTTATTGTCCAGAACACCGATCCGCCGGCTTACGAGATGACTGCCAAAGTGAAAATCCTTCAAAAACGGTTACTCGAACAATGCACCAGAGTGTTCGACAAGGATTTGCAAGTCCAAGAGCTGCAGACTAGATACGATAAACTAAAAGACGAATTCATCAAGCTGCCGGGCAGGGATATCTTCAAAGAAATGAACGATATCAAAAGAACTCTATTAAAAAAAGACGACAAATTGAAAGTAAGATCGGTTTGAGTGACGAGGTTCAATTATAGTTTAATTATTTTTTTATCATTTTTTTTTCTTTTACATTGAATAAAATAAATATGTTTAGAGCTTATCCGGAGAATTAATTATCAGTCAACAGACAACAAAAGAGTGCGTGTTCGAATTGGAGAGAACGAAAAAAGACTTGAACGAATTTAAAAATAAATATTACGAACTGGTAATAGTTTTTACTTCGTCACCTATTTGAAAACAAAACGTATTTTGATTTAAAGTTTCAATCTATTTTTATTCATTTATTTATTTAATTTTGTTACTTCAAAGACGAAATTTTATTCGCATAAAAGTGAAATGTTAATGTATTTAAGCATAAACCAAACAAATATTATAAGTGAAATTAATAAAATAGTAGTTCCCTTTTTACTATTAAACTTTTAATCACAGGAAAACCTTTACTTTCACAAATTAGTTTTTTTTTATATTATTATTATTTAATTATTTTCTTTAATCAATAAAATTAACTTTAAACTTTTGGTTTTCAAACAGAAATCTTTATGTATTATTATAAAAAGATTTAAAATAATATCATAGTTTAAAAAATAAAATAAATATATACATGTATATTAACGAATTTAATGTTGATTTACTAATCAAAATCCAGCCTTGATAAACAATTTTATACCGTAAAGTACTTAATAATATACTAATCTACGTGACTTCTCCCGTATAAATAAATATAAATAACGAAACTCAAAAATAAGTATACCTATCACGAGTAAATTCATCGACATTGATATATTGCAGAATATAAAATGATATTTATTATGAATAATAAAATATCTTTTGAATTATACATAACGTATATTATATTTATGAAGATTTCTTTAAAAAATAATGTCAAATTTATACCTTTATATAGATAATAAAGTGCATAACATACAAGGTGTTCTATATTGGTAATATTATGTATACTATTTTCAGAAACGCATCGTGACCAAAATCAAACTCAAAAACCAAAACACTACAACACTAACGAAACCAGATCCAATTTCCACGAGTTGTAGCAAATTTTTAGATATGACTGTATGATTAGTTTTTAGTCTTTTTAAATTTTAAATTAAATTTTTTTTTTTTTTTTTTTATGAAAAAAATAATTTGAGTATTTTTCTTAACGAAGCGTTTTTCCCAAAATAATAAAAGAAATTAACTAGAGCATTTTGATTGAATTCAAAAACAGAATTACGAATTAAAAGGAAGAACATTTTTCACTTTACCAATACTTTAATATTATACCCTGAAATATATTTTTCTTAAACATTTATTATTATATTACACAGTCTATATAGATTCATAAAAGTTTATATGAAGTGCAGTGGATATATATGATTGGTGACTTGTTGAAGAGGCCATCTGTCGACGGAACTTCAGACTGTAAGAAGCTGAATTTATATTCAATTAACAATTCATATCATCAATATTGCGTTTTGGACGCCATATTGTGGATCAGCTAGAATATTGAACGTCATTTATAATTCAGTGACTATTTGATATGACTAAAAAACATGTGTAAAGTAAAACATCTTTTACATATATAAATTTAAAATTTTAAGCAGTTAAACAGTTGGTTAATATAATTATTATAAACCTACTGTATTATTATGTATCGGTATTACCTTTAAAAAATGTAATCTAATATTAATGTATATGATTTATTTATTTCAAAAAATATAGTTATAAGCTTATAACATTAGTGTTTTTAATCTTTTATTGAAAATCTGATATGAATTATAAACATTACATAAATACAAATTTGATGATTTACTAATAGAATTATTAGTATAATTAACTGTTGAATGTTATTACGTATATTAATTATAATAATCTCTTATAAATATTAATTTTTTTAATTTTAAATATCTTTAATTCAGATGTCATAAGCTACTTATTATTATTTTACAACTAAATAATTATACACACTTATCATCTAAAATAAAATCATAAAATTGTCAATACGTTTTAAATAATTGTACGTTAAACGTGGTTCATATAAATTGTCATATTGTATCGTAATTTTCATGGTGTATACGTTCCAATGTAAGACCCACACTGTGAACACTTGTGGTCAACTTTTTGAAAAGATTTCATAAAGAACGGTAGACATGAACATAACGCACACCTGAAATACAAGTACACAATAATTATAATGTTGTAAAAGTTAAAAAAATAAATTTAATTTAGTGTATCTATGACACATTATATATGAACACGTAAAAGTATTATTTTAACAAGTCTTCGCTATTTTGTCAAAATTAAATTTTTACCGAATAATATTATATTTATGTAAATACACAAGTAAAGTTAGGAATAGATCCAAGAACACTTAAAGGCCACTGCCTCAACACAAACTCACTTCCTTCGATTAAACATATATTATTTCAATAATATTGAATATTATATTCATGGTTATTGATTTAAATAGTTATTTAATGATTTGTAAAATAAATATTAAATACTATAAAAAGAAAAATTAAGTTTGAAAATTATAAAAGCATATAGGTAAGATAGTGATATACAACTATAATACAACACAAAATGTATGGTTTTTAAATTTATAGAATCTCAAAGATAATAATGGTATACAATAGTTCGGTGCTAAATTACGTACAATAGTATTAATATATTATGACTTTTTATGTCCAATTTTATAATTTGATAATAGATAATAAATAAAATAAGTTTTGAGTTAACCTTATACCTTACGGTATCAAAGAATATTTTTTTTTAGTTCACAAACTATAAAGGCCTTTCACCACTATCATCAAGTCTCTCCGAAATTATCGATCAATCGCATCTTCGATTCTCGTCGTTTCCAACCTTTTCAAATGTATGTCTACTCTATCAAGCCATCATTGGCGAGACCTACCTTTTGGCCTCTTTTCGATGGGCTTATTGATTGATACTTTGTGTATTAGCTTATCCTATGCCAAACCATACATGACCAGCCCACTCTAACCTTATAACTGTTAGACACGTTTATATGATTGGTCTATTTAAAATGGTTTCAATTTCTTATTTTTTTTTTTTCTTAGTTTTCTGGAATTCTGACTTCGAGATATGTATGGGCTCATTTATCTTTTTTTTCAGGATTTTATGTAATAAAACATTAGTTTATAAAAATGTTTACAAAATAGAATCAAAATAAATAAACATTCGACAAAGATATTCATCAATAGTGTAGCAGGATTGTTCATAGTACTTTGTTTTATAAATAACAAACGGAGTCGCCGCACATCATAACACATAAATACCATAGTGTAAAATAATATTGTTTATTCTTTTTATTTTTTTAAATTCTGCAAAAAGCGGTGTATGTAATATGACTCCAATCAATTGGAAGTATTAACAAATCCGACTTCTATAACACAATTATGTTTTTAAAATTACGAGATGCCTAATTAATTATTATCTTATACCTATACTGCACAACGTTTAACTTGGTACATAGATTAGTGTATGACAACTGCGTTTAAAATTCATCAATCGATTAAACTTAAAAATTTGCAAAGATAAATAAACAAATTGAAATATGTTTCTTAATAATACTTATATTGTTTACACTATATAGTACACAGAATGTTTATAGATACAAAAAAAACACATTATCTTAAAACAAATAGCTCTATCAGACTTTTCAAAAACCAAAACTACTTCAAAGAACCAATAAATACATTATTCTATTTTTACAACAATTGAATACCAGTATACTATTAAACATATTTAGTAAAACTTAATTTGCATTTTAGTTTTTCAGTTTAATTTAAAATTTTTTTTTCTATATATATTATTTTATACCGACGTAAAATTATACTTAGATCAAATAAAACTTTTAATTTCTAATATGACTTGTTTAATTTTTATTTATTTTATCCCTCTAATCGTAAAGTATTAAAATATTAATTCTAAACAAAGAATACATTAAGTTTTATATCTTTACACAACTACACAAAATTAAAGATACTTAAGTTCACTTTTAAACAGATTTGATCATAAGTTTTTTTTTTATTTTTATCATAGAATTCCCAATATATTATAATACTTTATTGTTAATTAGCCAAACACATTAAATCATGAATTAATCAAAATTGATTTCTGATGTATCAAATAAATTTTTGTTAATTTAGACATAAAAAATTATATCCCCACCTCTATTATAGAAAAATCTTGGTATAGAAAACCTGAGAAAATATTGAAAATAAAAATTTACAAACACAAATATTTGATATTACTAATAATTAAAAAATATTGAATTTTTTTTAAAATAATTATTATAGGTGTATAAATAATTAAAATCATTAAATCTGAAAGTTTTTTTAATCAAAAATATATATATTTTTTTTAGTATTTTTCTGTACACTTATTTATTTAAATTTAAGTTAAATGCCATATAATGTATAACTTAATATGTTTTGAAAAGTGATTGCAAATACTTAAACATGCTAGATCGATTGAAAATATTAAAATGAAAAACTCAAAACAATGACTTATAGCTGATACGCTCTTCGCATAGTTCACAAAAATTCCATCTTCACACAGACAAGTAGGCAATATGCATAATATAATCAGATTGATCAAATTGAATACACGCACTACAATTATATCAAATAATAAAATACTTCAACCGACAACTGTGCTTATACAAAAGTCGTCAATAACAATAATCTTTTATTATAAAAGTATACGACGCATCATTATTCATGATACTAAAGCTACAACACTGAACAAAAAACTCTAAAGAGCACTCAAAATGTCAGTCAACTCGTATATTTTTTTTACAGAAACACATTGTAGGTGGTGCCCACTCAAATGTTCCGCAAATGGGCAGCACGATATCAATTTTAAACAATAATTTTGTTACAAACGGGATTATTGAATAAGTATAAAATATACGTTTTATGTAATATAATGATATAGGATATTATACCAAACGGTGGTGCAAATAAATATCACTATAAAATGACTGGCATTAAAACAGACGAATTAAATCATATTGTTTTTTAGTATATTATTATACATATACGTACCCTAGAATAAATATTAGCATGCAACATAAATACGCTTCGTTTGACGGCAATTCATCGGTTTCGGTAATTATATAATTATGGCACGTCGGACAAAACATATAGACTGGCATTGGACTCAAAGCTAGAAATAATATACATACAATATTATTATTATTATTATTATTATTATTATTATTATTGCTATCGTTTTTTTTATTCGACCGAAAATAGATTATTTTAGAAATCATCATTGCATTATAATTATTAAACAAGCATAACTACGTAGAAATTATTATTTTTATTATTTTGCTTTATTATTGTATTATAATAACAAGACAATATTATAGTGCACGCAAATCATCATTTGTTGTTAATTATTAAAATCAAATATCTATTTGCATTCTGTAAATCGCAATTACAATAAAGTATAGAAGTGGTCTAGTCATAAATTTGCGACGTGTCGGTTTGATGAAAGGAGTTGTCCACTTCTTCCACCAAAAACTCCAAACTTTTATACGTTTCGGTTAGGTTAGGTTAGAAAATAAATAAATAATAATAATAAATTTTTTTATTTAAGAATTGTGACAATAAAAACCTTCTTTATTTTCAAATAAACCTCACAGTTACTAGTTATTTTTAATATCGGTTTAGATATGGCCCAACGATAACCAAATTTATTATCAAAATTTTAAATTATTTTCAATATTATTTGTAATAATAATATAATGTTTTTAGTTTATATTCTACTCGATTTTTGTTGTTATTTACATTTTAGAAACTCATAAAATACATACTTGTTTCTATTATATACTCGGGTGTGAAATATTGATGTTGCGTTGTGTAATCATTAGAATACACAAAATTTGCTGGATAAATTCCTGGACCTTCGTCGTACGGCGGTGGTGGAGTGTTAGGTATCGGTGCGGTTCTTGAATTATTAGGATCCATGATCGGTATTAGGTGTGTTTAATGGTAAAAAAAAAAAAAATGTATAATCATATGAAATGTTGTAAAATACCCGTGCGTTTAATAGTCATCATTATAAAACAACTTTCTGTATACGACTGATCAAATTTATTGGCCACCTATAATTTATTCTTTAACTTTTAAGGCAAACATGACGAGTTTTTAAGAGCCACAAAACACTCGAAATGGTCTTAAATGGTTAATTTAACTACGAAAGACAACATAGATGTACACCGGTGCGAATCGAAAATCGTACAGATAAGATAAACAATTTCAATGACTGTGTAGTATGTTCGTATAAATTACTTAATGACGGCAAACATGTGTAAGAACATAATATAAAATAGCACGCACAACTGTACAAGTATCAAGCAATAGCACGATTTTCAGTTCGTACTAGCTGACATCGAAACTAACTATAAAACGATTAATACGCAAATTACAATACTAATGTTTATATTCAAATCGAACAGAAAATAGTGTATGAAGTTTTGAAAACGTTATTGTATATTTAGATATGATAATCATATATAAATATGGCCATTGTATATGCTATATAAGTACTCGCATAACGTAAATATCACAGTAGACTCACCACGATCGTTGAAGTTTTTTTTTTTTTTTATAATTTATCAGGTGAGTACGTACATTCGAATTCTCAGAATTTTGGCCCAAGCGAGCAATACACTGGTTTTAAATTAATGATACCTGTTTATGTCTGCAAATATTTTTTTTCGGGTAAAATAAACAAATCCGATCACTACATGTTCACTGACGCATGCCGTCTACCGATTTGGATGTAGATTGTTCTTTAGACAGATTATTTAGTACTAAATAATGGTAGTGATTTCCATTCCTATTCTAGTTGCATATAAATAGGTATATTATACAATATGTATGATGAAAAAAAAAAATAAATAAATATTGATTCAATTCTGAAATTAAATTTAAAATAGTCAATATAACATCTATTATGTAATAATAGATAAGTAAAAAATTCTATTGTCTTGTGACCTAACTATGTGATATAGAACTGTAATAACTTATAATACATCTCGTTTGTCTTTAAAATGTTCATATATTGGTTTTAACAAATAGTCAAGTACAGATACGAACTGGTAAAAAAGAGCACGAAGATGCTAAATAATTTAAAAGGAAAGGGCATTAATAACAAGTAACAACATTTTTTTTAGCAATTTTAAAATATGTAGATCATTCATAAAATATTAAAATATTTTATTTTGTTATAAAAATATTGAAAACACGTTAAAAACGTGAACAGGTACCAAGTTATAACAGGTATTCAATTAAAATTTTACAATATTAAAAAAATAAAAAAAATAATTAAATAAATAGATTTCCTAAAGTTCTACAGTTGCTTAACTAATACATTAAGGCACATTTATACCGATAGGGGCAAATATATTTTAGGGCAAGGGGTGCTGTAGCATCCCAGCGTCCAATCCAGTCTACACCTGGTTAGGTAGGCATATATATTATATATCATGTCAACGAATTTTATGTATTTTTGATTTGATAAGTATTGAAAAACCGTCAAATACAACGTAGTGTCATTTCCAAAAATGTGTAATTTATGTTTACACAACAAATAATTTAGTTAAACTTCTTGGCAAACACAAAAACACAAATCAAAAGTTTTTTCTATTTTATTTTTCTTGAATTTTTCTGAATCTCTAAGATAAATGTTCATTGCATTTTTTTTTTTTTTTTTGAAATTTTGTTTGAAATAAATAATACTTCAATATAATAAAAGTGATAGAACCAGTCAAACATTTCAAACGTTCCCAAAATAAAATGTTACAGAAATTTTTATAATTATATTTTTAAAAAATAATAAAAGCAAAGAAATTTTAGTTTAATATTGCAGAATTAGTGCTCAAAAACCTTGAGCTTTCATACAAAATTTATTATTAATATAATATTAATAATAATTATGTACTTATAATAAATGGTGATTTTATCACACATCTTAAGCGTTTAGAGATTAAATTTTAATTTGTACAAAATTTTAAACATTTTTGTGTACTAGAAGGATTTATAAGTCATTAAAATGACACAAAATATTATAGTTGATATTAAAATGTTAATAACTCCCGTTATCTGTGACGGAAAACAGCCAGATAATAATTATTTAAAAATAGTCAATTACAAATCGATAGTCGTAATAAAATAAGTGCTTAAAATTTGCTAACAAATTTATTAAAACAATGTAAACACGATAATAATTAATCAAATGCGGTGTAAACATAAGTAGATAATTTAAATAAAAAATAGCATATTAAAATTCCACGTACCGACCTATCGATAGGTGTAGCTGACTACCTTATTGATTGGCGCTTTTTTATATCCAAACATATCATAAAACGATGGCTACTCCTCGTTTGGACACCATTTTTTTTTTCAGACGTAACACGTTTGGGCAATGTAGTTTATCATAAATATATTCAGTGGCGTAGCCAGTGGGGTTTTTTATGTTGTAACCCCATCCACCCACCACCACCACCACCATTGATTTTTATTTAATTATTCTGTAAACATATTTTGAATTACCTTTTTTTTTTTTTTGTTTTTGCTATACTATCCCTGATTAATATATTTACCTAAAGCTTAAACCCCCCTTCCACATTCAAAAATTCTGGCTACGCCACTGAAGATATTATACGATTTATACGTTGTAATTTATTGGTGTCGATGTTAATGTTATCTCGCATTGTATAAATTTTTCGTGGAAATTATACATACACAAGTTTATAAGTAAGGTATAATCGTGTAGGTATACCTACCATGAACATGAATTAATACTAACGAACGGTAACAATGAAACCGTGAGCGTATCATGCCGACGTCACATACGAACTTTATCATTGTAAGTATAGAAATACTACACCTCGTATGTTATCTTACCTGACCACGCGCGTGACTGAGACTCAGGACTTACTATAGAATAATAATTATAGTGGGCCTAACCGTCTGATACCGCAGACAATACCGAATAATCCATATTATTTAACTTCTAAATATTCAATCAATCGTTTTAATATTATACTTTAGTATTTCTTGAAAAAAAATGTTTTGATTATTAACTTTTGAAGGAGATTTCTCGCAGCAAACTGGATATTGTTTGCGCTTTTAGTGAACAAAAATAAAAATTCCCCAATGCTTTTTTTTTTTTAAATAATCTAAAAAATAGAATAAAATCGTGTTAATTTTTTTTATTTGTTTAATATTATGAATAAAATAATAGTTATCAAAAAGTTAGATTATCTGTGATCAAAATCGTTTTTCATCGTAGACAATATTGAAGTTCACTCGACCCTACCGTAAAACGGAATGGTTAGGTACCTACATATTTGACGGAATTTTTAAACTTCACTCACATCAGTAGATACTGGTATCAAATAAAAATTTAATAAAAGATGCACAAGTGCACAACTCGAATTCAAATTAAATTACATATATATATTTTAACGTTCCATCAAAATATTTTTTCATTATATATTATATACGATGTACATATTTTGTCAGTTATAATTATTAGGTAATGGGAATTTGTAAAATATGTGTAAATGGTACCTCATAAAATAAAAATAAAAAAAAAGTAATGTGAACGTTTCTAGCGTTCAAGTGTATTCTGTTCCGTTTAATGATAAACATAATATTATGTTATGCCTCTTAACAGTCCACAATACAAAATACAGCTGATTATTACATCAATAAAAAAAGTCATATTATTAATAGGTGCGTTATGGCGATCCATTAATTGCATCAGCTAATTGACAATTTCATTTAAATCTACTGACTGTGATTAAAGTAGGTAACTAAATATGCGCTAAATTCTGAATCAAATATTAAAACGCCATTAATCCCGCCATATAGAACGCTCACTCCACAAACTCCACAAATATCCAAGTATTACCGCAAATAATTTACCTATTTTCCTTCTCTCTCGGTTCTGTTAAATATTTACGTCTTAACGTTGCTAAGAGATTTACCTGGAATTATCATACATTAAAAATATTAATTTTCAACACTCATATTCTTATGATTATTCAATCTAAAACAGATTTATAAGCTTCAAATCTAAACTTTATTAAAATGTAGGTACTATAAAACACATCATGAGATCCTCCAAAATCGAATATGGACACACCGGTTACAAGGTGGCCGGGGTTACGTGGTAAGCTAAAAAATATCACTTGAACAATAACGCAAGTTTATCAAAATACCCAAACTTCACAAAACCACCATCCATATTATCTCTATAACTTGATCCCTCACAAAGACCTGCTTATAGCATTAAATCAATTGAGAAAAGTATATAGAGCTACACTACTTTATAAACGGTTTTTTTTCTAGGTTTATTTTTCCGGGATATAAAGCCAGAACAGTCCATTCTTAAATGACGATTGCATACCCCTTGACTTCCTGGAAATTATCGCCACAAACTCATGAGAAAAGGTGGTTCCGTGGTCTTTTAATTTAATATTCTTTTTATAATAGGTATTGATCGCGAGCTAAGTGTCATTTGTGCTACTTAACTGCATAACTTAAATTCTCGTTTATCTCATTAATACACTATTGTGTATTATAAATCTATTTTCTATACGCGTATTTCGTATTAAAGTAAAAAATAAAATAAAGAACTTCTGTTTTTTTTTTTTTTATGGTTTTGTGTTCAGCTAATTTGCCCAATCGATTTTTTTGTAAAGCCAAAAATCACTATTATTTTTAAAAAAGTATTAATAATGAAATACTAACTATAATTGTTATTATCATTATTATTAACGCATAATATTTATCGAAACCAATTTAAATAGGTCAATGACTTCTTTTCGTAGTGTATCAGAGAAGTTTTTTCATTATGGCAGCGATTTTCTTTTTGCTACTATGTCGATCTTATCAAACACTTCTGCTGAAACTGAAGTATTTTTCATTGTTACTCGCTCATTTTTCTAAAGATTGGTTTATTAATAAATATGTTTTTTCTAATAACAATAGATAGTAAATGTATCGAATATTGTGCATAAGTAAAATAATATTTCTTGAAGGTTTGAAAAATATTATATTTTTATTATTTTTTATAATTATTATTATCGTTAACTTAGCAATTGAAAACGCCTCAAATAAATGCATTGATTTGTTTATGTAAAAATTCAATATATT